AACGGATGTAAATATACTTTATTAGACATTTTGTATAACAGCATATTAAACGCTTATCAAAGTTTTTAAAAGGGTCTAACGTTAGGTCGTTGGATAACACTATAAGTTTATTTACTGCATTACATAAAGAACGGTTAAATTTAACCCTAACTAAACTAAATCAAAAACCGTACACAAGTGTTAATATATCTCTTTATCGAATATAGGCCCAATAAAGCCTTAATTAAAGTTAGGCCTAAAACAAGTGGACTTGCAGATTTCGGTGTCTCTGATTAGAATTATTTTGTAGTATTTGAGAAATCCTGTATTTAAAAAAGTACTGTTGCAATACAGATACTAATATGACTGCAGTTCTTTTGCGGGACTCTGGTAGTTTATACATAACATCAGACCATTTACTTCACATCTCAATTCAGAATTACAGCGAACAACCTAGATTCATTTCATGTGTATTTAATTCTCTAGAACAGGAAACCACGTGTCCACTGGTCAACCGTATGCGAGATAAACAAATATTCGCTTTAAACCTTCTTTCGAACAGTTAGGTGATTGTGAAACTTCAACGCCCTGTTAAAAGGTTGAGACAGAAATCAATTTAATACGAAACGGTTTGAAACGCTTTCATCTACGCTAAAGTGGTTAATTTTCTACAGAACTTGTCCAATCTCTTTCATGTTCTAAGTAACGAAAAATCATATTCTCTCGCTTCAACGCTACCCTGACTTGTGAATTTCCGTTATAATTCTGTGACTGCTCAAATAAGAACCGTGCCAAGTTATTATTATTCTGAAACCATTGTCTATAAATCAAATAATTAATCTTTGTGAACCGCTTCGAAGTCTACCTGCTCTGCATATTTGTAGTTAATTCATTTCTGGAGGGTTTTAAATGCCCTTTTAAACAATCTGTATGTATATATTCATCATTCTTTTATTGCGGCAATAACTTGTTTATGTTTGTTCTTTATGTAACCGCAAGCAAAGTTTTAATGTGATACGCTATATTACAACATAGATTGTTAAACGCTCACAGATGAATAATGGGGTTTTAGAATAATTCAGTTACGGTTCTTCGGTGTTTGAATATCCAACAGGAGGCTTAATAACCATACTGTAAATTATATTTGCTCTTAAAAATTCTATTTGAATTTCAGATGTGGTTGATGAACGTGATGAAAAAATTACCACACGCATCAGAATCAGTGAAACGAGACAATACAGCATGAAATTATATAGTATGACATATTAAATTTTATTTACATTCTTCTTGATACCCGTCATTTTGTGATGCTTGCAGTGATACTTTTAGATGCTTTATTATTTTATGGTTGACTAGCATTTATACGTGTCTTACATGACGTAATCGAGTTCATGTAATATACATTTACAGAAATACATCTGGGTGAAAGAACAAATAACGAAGCAAATCTAGTATCTGAACAATTAGAAACTAACTATATGCTGTATATTGTTTATATTATTTATCGTTATGTCAGGTTTTGTTAGTCCTGAATTTAGACCTAACTAACCTGGCTGACGATATATGATCGTATTTGTTTAATGCCAACACTACTGCAAGTTGAGTGGCCATCTTATTTAGGATTGGTCTGCTTTGGTGTCTGACGCATCATTATACATTTCCAAATCACACTGCACTATAAAAATTATGAAATTAATATATATTTTTTTTACTTCTACATCATTATAATAAAACTTACATTCAATGAATATAGGAAAGGCTAAATCAGGTTGTATGGTTGACCACCAACTTTAAAATCATGCAGGATGCAAGTAAACAATTTAGCAAACGTGAAAGCAGGTTTTATCCTTTATCATAAAGCATTCTAACAACAGATTTTGTAGTCTACAGTCATGACACTTCAGTCTAGATAGCACACAATATTTCCTTAAAGAAAAAAAACAAAAAAACTTGAGAAACCTTTTGTAAATCTCCAAGAAGCTAATTGAACTAATGCCGCCCACTTATGAAATAGTGTTTAGGTTTTCAATAACTTTGATCTCTTACATTTGATAACAAGTTATGGGACAAGAAAATAGATATCATACATACAAAATAAGAGTAATCCATAGTATCATGACATTTAAATCGAGGAATAACATATTTGTTGAATCTAATAACACACGCAGTCGTGCGCATGTGACAGCTAAAATTACCGAGTTATTAATAAACTGATATGAATCTCAACGATCCTTTGACATTATCATTTTTACATAGATTCGTCTACTTTTTATTTGTGTTTATATATATAATACAGAATAATACACATTTATAAGGAGTAATGCAGATTGAAGGTTTTTGTTTGTTACACGAAGGTTAAACATATGACGCAAGAAACGCGCAATGATTACCTCACAAATTTGCACTTTATCGTCTGGGCAACCAAACTCCTAAATATGGAATGTTTGTTTGTTTGTTTTCAATTTCGCGCAAAGCTACACGAGGGCTATCTGCGCTAGCCGTCCCTAATTTAGCAGTGTAAGACTAGAGGGAAGGCAGTTAGTCATCACCATGCACCGCCAACTCTTGGGCTACTCTTTTACAACGAATAGTGGGATTGACCGTCACATTATAACGGCCCCAAACGTTGAAAGGTGTTTGGTGTGACGGGGATTCGAACCCGCGACCCCGCAGATTACGAGTCGAGCGCCCTAACCATAAATATGGAATGATAAAAAATTGTACACGTGTGCCTTATCACATGATAAATGTGATTTTACGTGACAATACTGCCTCCGATGGATTGATTGTGGGGGGGGGGGTAAGTGCCCATACGCAGTATTAGATAATTTTTCCTTTAAACTACCTGTACTTGTTTTTATGGCAATGCTACTAAAGTTATCTGTTGCCATGCCTAATTTTAAAATACGTAGCAGAGGGAGAGCAACCTTTCAGAAGTACCCTACTGAATACACATAAGGACTGACTTTCACTCTTATTTTGTGGTATTGCACGGACCTGAATATGGTTCGCCAGCTCCGAAATCCAGAGCTCTACCACGCAGCCAACTCGCGGCCAAAAAACTACCTAACCGTGAGGTTAAAAAGAGACCCGATGTCAGTCTATAACTACTCAGTTGAAGATTTGTTTGTGAATATTGTGACAATATATTCTTTGATTTTACTAACAAACACACAATGAAAACTTATTTTCATGTTGTTTTCAGCTTTATGCCATTCAGTCGAGAGTACACTCGTATAGCGATTGGAACAGCGATAAAAGCTTAGGTTAGCAATGTACCGCTAAAAGAAAAGATACATCTTCCACAGTAATTACAGTCCTCATCTTTTTATATGTTTTCAAAAAGCTTGTCATTTTACAATTCATCTGAATAGTGAAGTTGTCGTATGACAGCAAAATAAAAATTTTAGGGAAAAGATGAGGTAGGCTTAGTTAGATCATTTTGCACTCGGCCATACCAAATTTCATTATTTCAAGCCGTTATTTGTTAGGCCGTATTTACATTAGGCCTTATCGATTTAAGTAACTATTTGAATGTGAATATACATATATATATATATATTAAAAAAATTTAAAATATATATTTATAAATGAATATAAAAGGGGCTCCGGACTTATTACATATATGTAATGTTTTAAAAACAATCGGCTTGATAATAACTTTGACGTAAAAAGTTGTTTTTACTGAATGCCAATGACCATAAACACACTCAAACTGCATTCGGTGTTTTAGAATAAAAACAAAGGTAATATTTAGTTTTATAGAATAAAAACTTTAATGGAAAACCTTACAACAATATAAGAAGACAGAAAAATCATGCAACTGAAGTGTACAACTATGAAAAGCGTTTCTAATTCTTTCTTCAGAAAATTCCCACAGTGAAATCTTTTCGACTTTTCATAGCTGTGTAATCATACAAATATCATATATCTAAATAATATATCTTATTTTGCAGAAGCTACATAATTTATAGAACGTTCATTTCAATTTTAAAATATGTTCATTCAGCATTTTTTTCTTCTTCTTGAAATGTAATAAAACAAACCATACAACAGGTGCCCCGAATTGACTCACCGGGGCGTTTGAGAAAGAACAGGCGAAAACATAAGTAATATAAACCAATATGTGAACCCTACCAGTAGTAAATGCTACCTAAAAAAGGTCGGTGATTTAAGGGTTAACACAAGTTTTTATCGTTCTAATGTAACACGCGCTAATAAATAAACGAAGTATCTGTTAAACAATAAAACAAAAACGTTCGAAAAAACTCTCCCGCTATAGGAAATGCATAAGTAGTACTTTTATAATTAAAATAGCATTGCTCTGAGAGAGTGAAAAGATAGGATTGCAATAGCATTACATATAAATGTTTGTTTGGTTTGTTGAACTTCGCGCAAAGATATTTGAGGGTTATCTGCGCCAGCCTCCCATAATTTCCAAGTGATAGACAAGAAGAAAGGCAGCTAGTCAACAATACCCACTCCCAACTCTTGGGCTATTCTTTATCAACAAATAGTGGGATTGACCGTCATATTATAACGCCCCTACGCCTGAAAAGATAAGCACATTCGAAGACAAGTTTCGATCCCGCCACAAGCAGATTGCGAGTAGAGCGTCCTAACCACCAGGCTTCATTTAGAATTAAACACTGAATTTTACAGGTACAATAAATAACGATCAATCGGTTCATGTGAGCTTGAAATATATTATAAAACAGGCTTGCAAATACGGCACACTGCCAAGGAACACTTCACAGAAATAGACACCCACTCACGGCTGATGCTTTGCAGCTGGCGACCAATAGTTGTCTTCAAAAGCAAAAACTTGTGCCGGAACGAACTAATCAATCAGACTCGTTAAGTGGCGAGGGATAACCTGACAATTACAACAAGCTTTTTTAGGGCTACCAATTCATGGAAAATAAATACGTAAGTACTTTCCGGGAATCAAGATACGACTGATCACGAAAAGATAATAAAGTTCAGCACTGTGTTTGATCCATGAAATAAACATAGCTTACCAGATTTGAAGTTTTTCTTTTCGGGCCAAGAAGTGGGAAAGCGTACAGTTGTTTCTTGGCGGCTTTCCGTTGACAAAGTTTTAATTCTTAAAGTTCTGAGTTCCATAACATGACATCACATCATCATATCCAAGATCTATTACAAACTCGAAATGTTACTATAGAATTCTTTTCAGATGATTAAAGTGACCTGCCACGAGTACACATGTCGTTACAAAAATGATAACATTGGTTGATTTATCTAGCAGCTGTAATAACAAAACACTTCTCTGTTTATACGCTGTGTATGAAAATGAGTGTCATCACATCAGCGCTGACGTCTTATCTTTCAGTCATCTGCGAAAGTTACTCAGGGCCGATCGCATAATCTTCACGCATCTTCAAGAGTTGTGCTAATGGAAAAACTAAACAATTATTTTGTATTGTTTGTTATGAATTTCGCGCATAGCCATCTGTGCTAGCGGTCCCTAACTTAGCAGTGTAAGACTAGAGGTAATGCAGCTAGTCATCACCACCAACCGCCAACACTTGGGCTACTTTTTTACCAACAAATAGTGGGATTAACCGTCACATTTTAACGCCCACGCGGCTGAAAGGGCGAGCATGTTTGGTGTGACAGCGATTCTAACCCGCATATTGCGAGTCGAGCTCCCTAACAACCTGGCCATGCCGGGGATAATTATTTTGTAAACTCTGAAGTTAAACGATGACACGATACCGGAACCAAAAGCTAAAAACATTAGTAAAAATTACTCCGTGTAAAAAACTAACAAAAAGAAATATTAGGTGCTCAGAACCCCAACTTAAACGGTACCGTTTTCGTTATGTGGGCTAAGATCGGGGATTTTTAGAGCTCAGGTATAGCCATTACTATCTTAGAGGTGCTGACCAGAAAAAAAAAAAGGCAACCTGACAACAGCAATAGCTGGGTATTATGCAGGCAGCTACGCTTAACCGAATATTGAACTTTTAACATTGATAAAATGGATGTCCTTCAAAAGTCTGATAAGTCAGACAGCATATTCAACTTATTTATTTCTGTTGCACTTAGAACACAATAATAACACGATCAGTTATCGTGTACAATAATCATGTGAACTAGTGACCTAATATGCTGTTAAATTGTCATTTATACTGAGACAGGTGTGGCCTAGTGATTAGCGTTCACGGACTGCGAGTTCGAATATTCCATGTTCGCGTCCCGTTGCCGTAAAAACTAGCTCCGTCATTTTAGGCAGTGAGTGTACTGTAAGGGAGACGGCCAGACAAGAGTTGGCAGTGCCAGCGGGTGCTATTTCTGTTGTTTTTGTGAATTTGAGCACACTCGAGGGCTATCTGCGCTAGCCGTCTAATATTTTGAAATGACAAACTAGAGGGAAACCAGTTATTCAACATCACCCACCACCAACTCATGGGCTACTCTAATCGAATAGCGGTTTTTTTTTTTTAATTCAAAATACACACAATACAAGAAATACAAATAATATATAAAATAGAAAAAAAGATCCACAAGATTTCTCGATTGTGGATCCTGAAAAAAATATTAATAAACAATAAATAAATCATTTATATTTCCTTTGCAAAATTATTTATATTTTGACCTATCTTTATTTTTTATACTGAACAGTGATCTCATTTCATTTAGAATATTATTAAATAATTTTGGTGCTTGATACAAATAACTTTTTCTAAACATTTCCTTGTTTACTTTAGGAAAGTTTAATTTCCCATGTACTTCAGCTCTTGTTTCGTATATTGACTTTATTTTTTACAAATTTTGAATATCTTTACTGAATCTATTTAATATTTTATAAATATATAATTTGCACAATGGCAGTATATTTAAATTTTAAAAATGTAATTTAGTATGGTCATATTGTGATAATGATATTATGCATCTTATAATATCTTTTTGTAACTATATTATAACTCTCAAGTTTGTTAGATAGGTACCTCCCCAACAGGTGATACGATATTGTATAACTGAATCCATCCAAGCATAATAAATATATCTTTATATAATATAATCTTACTGTTGATATATTTAGTTTTTTCTCCATTATTTTTTTTAAATTTAATCTATGATATAATGTTACTTCAAGATACTTGACACTTTCTGACTTTTGTATAATTGAATTATTATTCATATCCTTTTTAATAGATGTTTTTTCAGAGAAAATCTCATGCAGACCGTTATCTTTACATTCAAACGTACTATATTTTCATTAAACACCTCATGTAGTTAAAAAAAAAATTAATGAGCTCATTACCAGAATTTCCATTATAAATTAATACAGTCATCTGCAAAACATGTTATTTCTCCATTAAAACCAACTTTCACAGAAATCATTTGAATATATTAAGAATATTAATGGTCCTAATACTGATCCCTGAGATTCTCCAGCGGTTAAATTAATTTCCCCACTTATAACATTATTTATTTTAACTACTTGTTTTCTTATAGTTATATAATTTAAACCAATTACAAAAATACC